TATTTGTGTACATATTCATCTTATATGTCACGCTCGTCTTCAAATGAAAAGATGACGATTCTGACAAAATAAGTGTCTGCTTTCAGTGATTCTATACTCTATCCTCTAAGTAAAGCTTTTAACTCTGCTGCTCGTCTAGTTGCTCGTGCCCCTTTCTTTTCTCATATATCTCCATATCTTGTTCTCTTGCACTGGCTACCTTTAAAATATAGAATAATTTTTAAAATTTGCACGTTTATGTATAAGTCTCAATCTAAATTATTTTCTAAGTATTTATCAGATAAATTAATTGAACCTAAATGCCCCTGTTTACGATCGTCTTTTTGTTTTCGCTTCTTCTTAACTCGTGCTAAACACTTGCCAAATCTGCTTTTGCTTTTTTCTGGCCTTTTTCTCTGGAACTCTCTACCTACATCTCTGACTACTTCTCCATCACTTACAAAGTTCAGATCGGATCTCAAGACCCATCTGTTTTCAAAATTCATTGAAGAGCGCTGTTGAACATCGCGGAAATAGCGCTTTACAAGGTAATTGATTAATTGATTGATTGATGATAATCATATATGTAATTTGAAATTTAAACCACATTGGAATAATAGAAAAATTTAAACGCCAGTATGCTATTGTATGCTACTACAAAAATTGTTACTACTGCTAAAATTACTATTATGGTTTATTGTATAAGATTTTAAATAAAACTATTAAGGCGCTATAAGTCGTACGCAAAAAATTATGCTTTTTTACGGAGACGTGTACACGTTCGGCATGCCAGTCACATTTCATTGGCATGCCGGCATACATTTTAGGTATTAACTATAATACTACTAAAAAAATATTACTACTACTACAACTATTAGTATTACTACTACTACGGCTGCTAAAATTTATCAAGCGAAAAGAAACGCGTACGAGCTACTGCTACTACTGCACAACTTGACTGGTGTTCTCTTCCGTTGAGAAATTTTTAACGTAGTTTTTTAACAATCTCTTTTGACAAAACGTGCACATGTATGCCAACCAGTATTAACATACATCTTAGGTATGTATTACTGCAATACTAAAAAATTGCTACTACTACTACTGCTTCTGCTGATATTACTGCTACCTGTATCATAACTGCTACCATTACTACTGCTGCTACTTCTGATTTATTTTATTGAAATGATATAGTTTGACAGTACGTACGAACGTATAAATTTCAACAATTACAGACGCGCACACACTCCTTTATATCATTCACTGGAATTGACATGTTTATGTTGCTACCTAATATTTGTAATTTTACATTCAATTAGATATGTAGGGATCAATCATTTATTTATTGACTATCTTATATAAATTATTATTAAAGATTATTGCAATTTTCAATGTTTCTTAGTCTATGTTAATTTTTGTTTCTTTGCTTCTCTCTCATCGATCTTCTTTACTTTTTCCCGGGAGCTTGTAAACGAGACGGTCCGAGATTCACCTTAGAATAAAGTTAATAGCAGAACTAGCAGATATCTAAATTAATGTGAATTATATATCTAAATTAATTTGACATACGTACATAGATGCATTTGATTAATTAACAATATTAATCAGTTTTTAATTACTGATTAACAATAAATAAAAGCAACAAAAGAAATCAGTGCACGAATATGTACGGCCAGTACATGTATGTACATGTAACAAACTGTTAGTAACGCGCTTCTGTAGTATGAATAATAATAATAGTACAACAGTATTTTTTAGGATTGCAATATTTATTATTATTACTTTAAATGTTTAATGGCTTTCTGGTTGGCAAGCCGAACGTGTACAATTGCTTAGTAGTTGAAACTACAAATTGTGGTTACAACTACAAATAGTGAACTGAACACGTTTTATTAAAAGGATGGTCACAGATTTTCTACCTCTGACGGAAAAATCACGGCACGTGATATTATTTACAATTATTTATTTATCTGACAATTAACAAACTTCATAAATTATAATCCGAATAGAGATAACGAATTGATCACAAATTGCTGTTGCCGTTCCGAATTGTTGTAATGTAGTGGTTCTACCCTATTCAACATCTGTGTGCATTTAAGGAATTTGAAGAATTGGACAAATTTGAAGCGTTGAACTGTAGAGCGTGGCGTGATTTTTTTAGTGAACTACAATTAGTAAACACGTTTTAAAGAAGGATTGTCAAAAATTTTTTACTACCTACAAACTTAACAGCACTATGGCGTGATTTATACTTTCGAACCAATCAGCGTTAAAAGGAGGTCTTAAAATATGTATTCATAATTTTTCATTATTTAATTAATGACTTGGCATATACGCTGATAAGAATGTATGGAAAAAAGCATATAAATGCCGACTGAAAAGCTCAAGTTTTAGTCGTTTATGATTTTGTTCTAAGTCGTTTAGACTTAGTTTTTATTTAATTTTAATATTAATTTAATTTTTTTTTATAATAATTAAAATTAATAAAGGAACATTCGGTTGCTGTATTAAGTTGCGTTTGATAAGTTTTAAATAAATCGTTAAAGATTGTTAAGACAAGTGTTCTTTTGTGCGCATATTTTCCTGCAGTGAATAGTCTGACGATTTGGAAGATGATCGGCACAAAATTAAGGTAAGTATTCTTTTATTAGCGTTATTATTGGTTTCGCTGTTTTCTTTTTTCTGCTTGAAGTTTTTATAAATAATTTATTAATAGAACAATTAAAAATTATTTTCAGAGCATGTTATCCTACAGTCACTGGTCTGATGGCTTGGAGGGTGATCGTCGGTAGATTGCTAAGACGAGTTTTTTTTTGAGCGCATGTTGTCCTACAGTGAATATTTTGACGGTATTGAAGATGATCGGTATAAATCTAAGATAAGTATTCTTTTATTAGCGTTAATATTGGTTTCGTTGTTTTTTTTTCTGCTTCTATTCTGCTTATCTTAAATTATTCTTAGGTATTCTATTGTA